TTTAATTGTAGGAATGCGGCCCTTGCTTTGCCAATCCTCGCCTTTACGTCTGTATCTGAACCTCCTTGTTTATCGATGATGCTTCCCAGGTATAAGAAGGATTCCACATCTTCCAGAGTTTTGCCATCAAGAGTGATTGGATTGCTGTTCTCCGTTTTGGATTTGAGGGTCTTGGTTTTCCCCTTGTGTGTGTTGGGGCCTACTGATGCAGAGACTGCTGCTACACTGGCTGTCTTTACCTGCATTTGCTCGTATGTATGCGATAGGAGGGCTAGGTCATCTGCGAAGTCCAAATCGTCTAATTGGTTTTGAGCTGCCCATTTTACGCCGTATTTTCCCTCAGATGTCGATATAGTGAATCAAATTTCTCTTGCTTAATTATGCGCACAATATGTTATCTTAACACCATGTCTCTTACACAGTCAGTCAGCTACAACTTAGGATTAGGCACATATGTGCATCGGTCCAAGTTGCCATACCGCATTAGCACAACAGGATAAACACCGGATTCATATAAGTAGTTAATTTAGTGGTGGTAATATATAGAAGAAAGATTGCATATAAGGATATAGTACAGGAAGCAAGAACTAGTTCGTAGAAAGAAAAATGTGAAGCGATCTTAATCTAATAGTTTAAGGGAAGACAAAGAGTGTATACACCTAAGCCATTGTGATCGATTCTGAGCCATGTCACTCACAGTCTCCAACAATTGGCTACAATATTCACGCGGTCCCCAACCAAGTGGTCTGCATCTACCAGCATGGCTCAGACCACAAGTTGGTGACTTCAAGCACTGATGCCACGTTCTCGTTTGGTCGACCCTAACTTTCTTCCAACCATCCCCTACACTAGTCAGCATTGGGTGTTGTGGTAATCGGTGTTCAGGCGTACACAACACGTGGCCCAACTATCTCAATCGATAAAGATTCACAACCTCATCAAATGATTTACCATCATTCATTAATACTCTGCGTCTAACCTCACTATTACTTACCCGGTGATTTCAGCAGATGCGAGCAATATTTCCAAGACATCTGTGGCCAAATACTAGTAACTTACGAATATCTTCTACTCTAAGTGGTCACGTTTAGCAGCCACAAAGTAAAACAGAGTGAACTGCCGCGCAGTATACTCGTCCCTTAATTGGTAGGTGGATATCTCACCTTCGCCATAGGTGACATAAGTTGACAAAAGCCAAACGAGCTTCCTACACACAAATGCAAATACCTACTTTAAACGTTGTTAACGTTGATTGGATGACCTATTCAGTATATAGTGAACCGGAGAGCCATGTACCTATTGGTATCCGATAATTTTGATGTTCGATTATGTTTCCTTGGAAAAGCTTGGACCAGATTGCCGAGCAAAATTTTAGATTTACTTCAAATTCGTTCGCTTAGATTCTACAAATACATTCTTCCTCTTTAATGCCTCACATCAACTCGGCGCCCAATACTGTGAAACCATTCGAACAAATTTAGTCGAAAGTCCTTATATATCATAACTATATTGTTTACAGTTGCTGGAGTCTAGTCAACTATTGGATGTTGCTGTGGTTTTGACAAGTCTTCCGTCCCCAGCTTACCTAATATTCCAATTTGTATCGGCTGCCATTTAAGACAGCCGTTTTATTAATTGACTGAATTTGGTTTAGTTGTATGATTCCATTCTAGGTGGAATATACACTTAATTTGTTAACTGTTATATAAGTATATTGTTTTGAACAGGAAGCAGCTCACGTTGGAGCTACTCAGTCGAGAATAACCCTACCCTTATTGAGTTAAAACATTATTATTGTGTTGACGAGATTCCCTTTAGTTCCCCCCAAGTTATTGCTACCGATCATCAATGTTTTGTGGAATTATTGTCCACTTTGATATTAGTACGTTTATCTTTACCACTATAGTGATAGAACTAATCCCAAAATTGTAGATTTATCATGATGTGACTACCTTACCTTTGAAATTTTGCGTGGAATTCACATTTTGTCTGTACTGACTCATTCTATCATGAAATCAGCAATACGATCGTTCACACTTCTAATGAACACATTTAAGCGGGGAATAAAATAAAACATTTGATATAAGAAGGAATACGTTAAATAGTGACCACACCTGTCTGGTCGAGATATTACATCTCGATTTTGTTTACATGTCTACCGTTTACAACGCTCTTTATGTATTATACATTGAATGTAAATCTTCTGAGTAATGATATATTCAGGTTCAAAGATCTTGTGGTTAGGAACCAATAACACTACACTACCATCCCACCAGAACCAATGTGACGTTGGTTTGAGAACAAAAACAGTGAGAATAATAGGAATCCTCTGGTATCGATAAACTGAAAGATCAATTAAAAGGGAAGCAACAGAAACTGATCGGGAAATACATATGATAATTTCAAAGTGTTTGGATTTGAAAATCGTGAGGTTGAGAACCAACAGCACTACAGTTTAATTACTTACTGTTTGCAATTTATCTTGTAAGATTGTTATTGTAACAGGAACTGCATAAGCTGCTCAAACAAAGTCTGTTTCATTCGCAATTATGCATATGCATTCAGCACTATTAGTATACATTGCCTTATGCAACTTCCCACGTTTACATGCAGATTTATTGGTACATAATATACATTTTTGAGTTACTCAACTGGGTTTCGTGTCTTTTGTGTTATCTGAAATTCATTATTTTATAGTTCTGGATTAATAGAATTATTGTGTTTCGATCAAAAATCAGAAGTACTTATATGACTTAAGGTTCATCAGCACAGTCAATTTAATTCTTCATTTTTTGGCGATCATTGGGACTTTATATACCGTCAGAAATTTCTATGTCTATTCTATTTGGGTCAATATTTTGGTCCCGGGAATAAACAGAATTCTGAATTAAGCTGCATATATATATATATATATATATATATATATATATATATATATTTGTATATATATATATATATGACACTGAAAAAATATGGTGTAATTCCGTTATTAACTGGACAGCTATTCGGAAATAATTGCGACACATTTGCAACGGGATTTACAGCACATGCAGAAGGAAGTGGCTCACTAGACTGTGAATGAGGGTAAGGTACCGAACTTCCAAGTGTTGGTTGTCTTCGTAGAAAAAAGGGCAAAGGTCATCTAGGTCTGGGTTAGTATGCCTGCACGCAACTAGAAGAAGGACATAAAGGGCCAATTAGGTCAGCTTTATTGAAGGGCGCAGCCCAGGGTAGTTAGTCATAGGACACACAACACAGCTAAGTCTGTATGCAATGGATTTTTTAAACTTGGTCACAAAGCAAGATATTGTGTGAAGTTGTTGAAGATGAATGCTGAATTAAAATAACGCTGAATGCCAGCCAAACCAACAATCATGGTGGAGCGATCTTAATATTAGAAGACTGATTACAAAATGTTGAGTCATCAGCCGAGTTTTACTAAGGCAAAGGAAAACCATCATGGACTGATCAGTCCAACCCATTGAGCTGATTTACGCCGTCTATCACCGTAAATATCAGTTAGTTCCATCTATTCAGAAGAGGAAGGATCAAACTTTCCAAAAGTAAAAAACGTTTGTTGGGCCAGTGAAATATCACTGAGCTCAAGCCAGATCATCAGGCAGTCGGGTCACTGAATGTCGAACGGTTCATTGGTCTCTGTCAGGGTCAAGGACAATCAACGCCATGGACTAGTCCGTGCAGTGATGGCCTTAACTTCTCCCTCGTTCCCACTTGTGGTAATACGTTTCGTAACAACATCCTTTGTGTTATACGGTTTTCAAAGCAACCATAGTACCTTGATACAATCAAGGAGTAATCCATGTGAGATGCTGACTGCGAGGTTTGACATTGAGGTTTGCTCTTGGTCATAACATTTCTACCTAACTCGGTTAGATTCTTTAATCATTCAACATAGATAATCTATGTTAGTGATCTACATGTTTCTAACAAACAAGGAACCTGGTTTGTATCTAATAGATCTAGATATTTCTACCGATCAAACAGTAACAATAAAAAAGCGCGGTCAGTCAATTTGTTAGCCCTCGAAGCCTAATGATAGAATAAAATGAAGACAGTCAGTGAGAAGTTATATAATATCAAGTAAAAGGATCAGTAATCTCAATTTATATGCCAGCAGAGTGACAATTGTCATACGAGAAATCAAAAAGCTTACAAATAAAGGTACCACACCTTACGTATGAGGGCAAGTATGACTTTTGTACTGATGGATAATTCTCCTGTACATTAATGTGCACCTAACTGATATTGCAAATAAAATATTATCGATTATACTACAATTTTTCTCATTATCTATTTGCGACGATTAAATATATTGAGTTCGACTGCTTCAGATTATCACAGTAAACCAAAGTGTTAATATTACATGAAATACTATATGAATTCAACAAAAAATACGAAAACGTTTCATAGCAAGAAAAACATTTAAATATTCACGGGAAAAAACACATATTGAGATATTCTTTTACATATTCTCGCAGAACCATACAAAATGAATCCTACACCTGAGTCTAAAATCCCTCCATGTACCACAGTATCACCCTAGATACATTCCGTAATAACTACCCAAGATGACTAGACAAAGCCGACAAGGTTTCTAGGACATCGAATTCAACTACAGTGGATGGGAAGTACTTTCTGGGAAATACAGATGAGCGAATCTATGACACTAGTCGTCTCAACATATGTATATGTGTAAATCAGGCATTTATTGCTATCAAAATCTCAATGGTCCAATGATTATCATTTCTTGTCCCCTGAAAGACTTGTGGTTATGCATAGCACATAACCGCCCTTCTCTCTCGGAAGCTGTTTCGTGGAACGGCGATTTTGTAGTCATTCGAATTCAAATCAAATTGAATACAAACTATGGTCTATAACAATGCATAAGGATATATAAATAGTGATTGCATCATTTGAGTTTTAAAATGGCTTGTCCTTTTGCTGTTTAACTGCACTAAGTTGTTGGCACGAACATACCTGTACGGTGGAAATAGCGCTCAAGTTGTTTCTGAGTTTGACGCAGACCAGACTATTGTCTGATTTTATTCACGTGGATATGTTCTTTTTATTTCACGGTTTCAAAGAGTGAATTTTCCAGAGGGGAAAATCAAGTTCTCCATGAACTGAACTCACTAGACGGTATACGGAACTGTATTTTGTCACTTCTAGCCGCGTTATTCAATTTGGGGATATAATTCTCTGTGCTGTCACTCATCGTTCTTCCATTTGAGTTACTAAGTGGTTGCTGTTTGTCTATTAATTTAGGTTCCTCCCCATTTCTAATGAACGATCCTAGTATATCCCACACCTCGAGCTTCGAGCGCTAGCGCCCCAGCTGGAGCAAGATTGACTAATTTCGGCGGAACCTCTAAAGTTCCTTTAAGGAATTTCGGGAAAATGCAACTAATGAACCTAGAATCCGCCCAAAATTTTTGGGAGTTGTGATTTTCCCTTAATGAGGCGTCGCTGCATTGCAAAGTTCACAAAAGTCAAGTATATTTAGCTTGAGAAATTATGAAATTCCGAAGAATTTATCAGTTAGGAATTGTGGACGCATAATAAAAGTCAATTATCAGTTCATAAAAGTTTTCAGGGTGAGGCTATAATTTATGGACGACCTTTGGGCGACGCTAAAATAGCCTTGAGGATGTCCACCTACTGACTATGGCTCAATAACGGTTTTAAACCAGTCTGAAGGATAAGGATTGTAATTTGCAGTTGGTGGTTAGGGATAGTGATTAGATTGAGGGTTTTCACCACGAACTGACATCAGTTAAAATGTTAAGACGCTATTTAGCCAAATATATAGCTTCGCGCCGAAACCCAAGACCTGTTATCGTAAATCGGATTGGTTCGTCCATAAATTATAGTCTCTCCGTTTTCAGTTATGCAGTTCTACTGTTGTAGATTTTACAGAACTAGTGATTTTCTTTCTCTAGTCATGAACAGTCCACTGGGAATTATTTGCCTGGTCGATTTGTCGTAACACTGTCAGGACTGGTCTGCACCATCACCCAGATTGGCTATACATCATGAATGAGCGTTAGATACGCCATGTTTCTTAGGTCTCACCAGTCCTGGTAAGGGATTGGTTTCCGATTAAATATCAAGGGGTTTACACGGCAGGAATATGGCTGTGGAACATGGTCGACAAGAGTTAAACACAGACGTAGCGTTCGTGCTTCTCATGTTGAGCGTCTCGAAAGCACTGTTCAGGTGTTACAGGACGACCAGGTAAGCAACGCTGAGGTCATACGCAGGGTACTAGGGAAGATGGAAAATCACCTGATGAGGCCATGTATGTTCACCGGTTGAGATGTTGCCGGCATGTGTTACGTGTAACCAACCAATACCGACCTCGTCATGCAATTTTGGCAAACTTAGAAAAACACCAGGAACAGCTAAACAATGGCCTGAGGTCAGTTCACCATGTCTCTGACTGTTGGTCTGAGCTATGTTTGTAGACCACCTAGTTGGCATCCGCACAATAATGCCAAACACTGGTTATAGATGATGAGTGATATGGTTCAGACGCAGGTGTTGTATGCTAGTGTTTCTCCACACACCTCTTCACCGATTTTTTTAAAACCACAATCTCAATGATTATTATGACTAGACCATTGAGGAAAAGACAAAGTAGGGCTACAAGACTGTGTGCATAGAAATAGCGATATGTTTTAGAATCCTCAGCCATAAGTATTCCTATTATTCAGTGAATTAGTAATGGTGTGGTTTGCTTTAAAGTCCGCATTTTACAAAAAGCATTTTAATTAACGAACTGTGAATCAGTTCGTCCTGGTTTATTTCACGCTGCGAAATGTGACCATTAACGGTAGAGGATACTCGTAAGTTACTAGTACTTGATCACAGATGTCTTGGAAACATTGCTCGAATCACCGGGTAAGTTATAGTGAGGCTAGACGCAGAGAATGATGGTAAGTCAGTTGATGAGTCTGTGGATCTTCATTGACTGAGATGATCGGGCCACGTATTACGCATGTTCAACCACCGATTACCACGGCACGCAATGCTGATCAGTGTTGGGTGCGGACGGAACAAAGTTAAGGGCGGCTAAACCGAAACGTGGCATCAGTCTTTGAAGTCACTTACTTCTGGTCTGAGCCATGTTGGTAGATGCAGATTACTTGGTCGGGGTCCGCGCGACTATCGTAAGTAGTATATATATATATATATATATAAGCATTGAAGTTACAGCTTCATCTTGTTCATCTTGTTGTGCTAATGAGGTATGGCAACTTGGACTGATGTATATATGTGCCTGGTCCTACCGACTCACCGTTATGAGCATTGTCCTTTTTCACCGATTCGGAATCATTTTCCCGCTAGTTATATCTTGGGTGAAAATATAAGTCTTATTATGAGGCTCTTTACGTGATGTAATAGAAAGTCATTTGCTTTTAAATGAGCCTGAAATTCGTTCTCTGGACTCCAGTCGCTTTGGTTCTACACTACAGTGATACCTGTTATCTCCTGTCTTTTGAGATTGCTGTCTTGGCTGAATGAGTTACTGGTTCCGAAATTATTTTTCCCTTCATGTATTTATCGTAAAGTCACCAATTACAAACTTTTAGAAGTTTGAGGCTCGGTCTTGTGTTTGACATTTAACCATTTCCATTTTGATACTGTTTCGAGTCGTTTAATAGCTCCTCCGTAGCTCGCGCATTTTACTATTGCTATCATCAACCATCTTGTTACTTGGCATTCTCATTTCCTCATTGTTATGTTGGTAATCGTCTTAATATTATGCAAATGGGATTTATGGAGAGAAGAATGGACATACACAGATGTACTTAAATATACGTACAGACCCCTGTATATTCCCCCTTTAACGCGAAAGATATGGAAACCGAGGGATTCCTATACGTGTTATGGAGTCATCAACTTACACTAAGTAACTTTTTTCCACGTTTCTCACTCCTCCCTTCTCTAAAGTAAACTATCACCATCAAATGTGCGCAAACGTTTCATTAAAGTCTACCTTACTAAAGAGCTTGCACTTTGCTTGATTTAACGTGCATTCAAGTCTATGAAATTGAACTGTTTGTTGACTGCGTATTCAGATTCATTCAGCTAAGTCATAAATCCAGCATTATGTTGTTTATATATCCGTACATAGAAATATATCGAATTGACGTTATGTTTACTGTCGACATGCCTTATCCCAGAAATATCTTAGCTATAGTGGCGTCTTCTTTGTGAAATATTTTTGTTTGATATAAATTTAGAAAACGGACTAAGCTGGATAAAGCCTTAGCAACCTATTGGTTAGTCCTTTCATGTAACGTCCACTAGGATTAAAGGTTCACAAACAGAATGATCGAAAGGTAAGGTTTTCAAGCGAAAGAACAGTGATTTCATTTGCTTTATAATCACTGTTTTTGCTTGAGATAAGTCCTGAGGAATATAGCATAAGTTTAAGTGAATCAAGCATTTGTAAAAGGAAAGATAACTGTCCAAAAGTGTTTTTTGGGTATATTCAAATAACTGTGGGGAATAATGAGTTGTTCGCATCAGATGATGAAAAACGTTGTTCTTAGCAGTTACTTCTTCAAACTTATTAATAAAATCATTCCGTTGAAACTGATAATTGTAACGTTTCATCTAGAAAGTAATATGCGGAGATCTGCAGCACCAAGTCGTACTAGTCAGTCTCAAGATCTGTCGATAAATTCCAACCTCGTAAAGACGGCTGAGTACAAGTCAGTTTTACACTGTTCCTCAAGTCCTAAAATGAACAATACGCCTACAAATTTTAATTTATCTCATGCTACGAAATGTTCCAGGTATTTCGAGGCTGTATATGGTAAAGCATCGACTAAAAAGGTATGGCGAATATCGTTTACCAGTTTTGCTTGCATTTTAGCATAAAAAATGGGAAGGAGATGGTAAGCAGTCACCAGTCTTGTTTATCTCTACGTAATTTTTAGGTTTTGTAGAGGTTGAAGGTCGAATCATAAAGCTTATCAATGAAGATTTGAAAGTGTAAGTGCTACTTTTTTAATGAAGGTAAATTTACCGGTTATTTTCCAACTATAGAATAGCATCTGCTTCTGGTCATAAATTAGCTTTTTTAAATGAAATTGATATTGGTTCGGTTGTTCATATTGGGTCTTATGAAGCAGAGCTTATTTCACTGATAGAGAAGCCACAGTTAATTAATCTTTCCTCAAAATCAAATGATGGCACTGAGGCGCTACATGCACCGGGTAACTAGTGTATTGTATTGTATTTATTTTGTCCCTATTTCCAGCAAAAATTTCGACAAGCAAACCAAGCACAAATCTCAGTTTCTCACCAAAGGTACCGTTTACATAATATCTATTTCCGGAATAATTTTTATTTGAGTCCATTTTAACCTCAATCCTTTAATCTCTTAAAACCTTTTAAGGATAATAGCCTTTCGTATTTGATACCCTTAAGATCAACCTAGGAGACTAATAAATGATAACACTGACGTTTCGTTCTAAAATACAGAAGTTGAAGGTACATCTGCAGTTGTATAAACTAATTTTTCTGCCTTAAAACCTTAATTTGACGGATGGAGTTGCTGAGATCATCTAAACAAGGAAAATAACTTCAAGATATTACAAGAGAATTATTCGATAAACTTAAATACTAAGAGACATTGACATACGTTTACAAAGTGTTATGTTGTCTGGGATTGCATGTGGGCATTAGTTACTCACTAGTCATTTCTTTGTGTAAGTTCTTGTGACAGATTGCCGTATACTTACGTCTATCCGTTGATAAATCGTACTGTCCCATTTCAATTTAGATTTTCAAACAAAACAGAAAAACCGGTCGGATTCTGAATGGCATCTAGAATGAATGAGTCAAATGCTAATTTTCATAATAAACACATTTCAAAGTGGTTTGTTTTCGTGTTTTTGTTGCATCAAATTTGTTTCATTCCACCGTTTAGTTTCAGTCGTTAAGAAAATTTACCTGCTCTGTTTAAGGGAACATTGAATTAGAAAATAATTTGAGCCCGATAAACTTAAAGAAAAATATTTGGGGCAGAGATTGGTCGACTTTCATCATGAATATTATCGTTTCTTATCAAGTTTCATTTCTAATTACTGGAAACTAGTGTATTAATTATGATTGTTCTCATATTTACATAGTATTATTATCACAGGAAAAAGCCTGGTATGATAGGAGATCGAGAAATTTCCCACAAAATGTGAGCTAACAATATTGTAGTGAAAAGGACGTGAAAACTTAAAACTAGTCAGTAAAGAAATAAATGTAACAGAATAAATGTTTATTAAACAATACTGATATATTCTTAACGCAGCAAAGTTATATTTCACCTCATATAAATGCTTCCTCAATAACATTGCCTCTAAACGAATTGAGGGCAGCCTTGATGTATAGACAGATAATTTTCGACATAGAATACACATGATAGTTTTCAAGGAATTGGCAGAAGTTGAATATTTGACCGACCAATCTATACCTAAACTAAGACCTGTTTGCAGAGTATTGCAGAAATGAATATTCTAGACACGACTGATAAATTTTAAACTGATGATTATTACATGCATTTGTAAGCTCTTTAAAAATGAATACAACAGCAGCAAACCGTGACTAGTACATAGCAGAGATGTGCATGTTTGTGAGTATTTAATGAACATAATATTGACTAGTGTCTGGTGATCAGTTTTTTAAATATACTAGTTCTGGATGATGAAGACTAGTTATCTCTTTTTTAGTAATGCAATTAAATTGTACGATTCTCACTTTGGCTTTGTGTCTTACACATGTCTTACACATAATTAATTTTCTAGCATTGATTTATAAATTGCATGTATATTTCCATATTATATCTCACGTTGTGTACAACATAACCTCGATTTTGGTGTCTTGTAGACGAATTCCAAATCAAAACTGAATGAGTCCTGGGGTTCTTCAAACCATCTGGTTATGCCCAAGCCTCCTGCTAACTGCATTGTAAGAGTAGTAACTTAATTCTAAACCTCGTAATTTATTCACTTTTCTACTTATGACCGATCAAATGCAGGTCTTCATAATGTCAAACTATTATCTAATGTCACATGTTTTCAAGATTTTGATATAATTTAGTCTGATGGAAATTTAGGTATATGACTTATTATTTGTTTATTGAATTCTCAGTACATTTCGGATTCATTTTGTATTGGTTGTTTAAATCTTCCGATTGATGTTTAGGACTGAAATTGATCAATCTCTCATTGGCTGAATCAAATGAATTAAAACTTCACCCCATTGCACAAGGTAGTGGCTATCTGAACTCAGTAGCTAAATGGATAACGCGATGGTGATTGTAGAAAACGGTACTGGGTTCGAGTCTCCGTAGTGAACATTAACTTTGAGATACATGTACACCCAGCTGACAAGTCCCAAACAGGACGAAACGTGCGTCCTAGATTCCAGTGCTAGCCACCATCCATCTCTGCTTATAATTTCCTATCAGGTTTTGATCATTTTAACACAAGATTACTGCCTATTAAATCCATTCTTTTGAATAATAATGATGACAAGTATAATTTTCGTATTTGAAGTCAGACGAATAATGATACTTATCGACTGACTTTAAGCCTCGAAGCCCCTTGAAAGTCGTAGCTCAGTAAAAAAGTCTCTGTTGCGTCTGTTTACCGTTGCTATCAAGCCCCCAATCGATTGAAGCTAGGTTGGGTACCGGCTTAGTGGTTTAAATGTTAAACGCTTGGCACCAGAACTTAGTGTCATGCGTTCGATCTCTAGTGGTGGTCTCGTGGATGAACCCTGCTTAGGAGTTATATACTGAGAGGGAATAGCTCTCCGATCTTTCTTTGTTTTTAATAGCTGTCTAACTAAGATTAGTTCTTTCTGTAAATTATGAACAGTAGATGTTGAAATTCATTAAAATATATTAATAAAATTGATAACTGTCGCTTGATTTTGTTGTTAATTGTTCAAAGTGACTAAAAAGAAACTTAGTTTCATTGCACTGTTAAAAATAGTTGTTAATTCGATTCCATATCATGATCAGAAAGCCAGACAAATAATTGAGATACCTTTATACATAGATTGCTCAATTGTATTTCGGTAAGAAGAGTATGAATATCAATTAATCAACTCGTTCTTTTTTGTATAGACTTTTCAAAGGTTGATCTCTCGTTAGTTTACTTAGTCTAAATGATTAAATTAATTGTTTGACATGGGTGCCTTTTAAGTTGTCTTTGTAGTGATATTAGACTCCTTAATGACATATATTTGCTGAGCGTTTGACGTCGTCCACATCCCTTGCAACAAATCGCAACAAATATCCATGTGAACTCTAAGGTCATGACCAAATATCATGCACAGGTTATCAGTAGCGAATAAAAAAATAATTCTATTACATAAAATCACAACAGCTAATATCAGTAGACTCTTTAAACTATAGAATAAATACTGATCGTAAATAAAATCGTTCTGATAAGCGTCATGTATCCTCATACATTCTACATTAGTGAAGTTTAAGATTAAAGTGGTTGTTTGTGAACTACAGCCCTATTAGTCAGTATATATATATATATATATATATATATATATATATATATATATATATATATATATATCCACTAATATGAGTAAATGTATTGAACAGAGCAGCCAATAAACCAGTTGTTATATTAGCAGTAAAGACAGTGTCTATACAAAAAGTTTACTTTCATTGTTACTAATAGAGATTTAATATTCCCAGGTTCAGTGTTAATCGTTGACTTAGTAGTCTACTTTATCCAGAGATTAATTCGTCGTTTTATTTAAAAAATAATTTTAGTGGTCTCAGAATCCCGACAACCTTCCTATTGTGGATGTAGTTTTAGAGTCGAAGTTTGCTTCACGTCTACAGCCACATCAATGTGAAGGTATTATTTTCTTGTATAAATGTTTAATGGGATTTCAACCGTATGTTGCTTTAAATGAATCTGATGCACAAATTACTTATGGATGCATTTTAGCGTGAGTTTAACTTTTTTGGTCTAAGTTTTGACCCCACGACAAAGACAAGCTTTATCTGTATTTTTGTACTGACATAAACATTTGTCGATCTTGTTCCATGCAGGAAAAATAACCTGTATTAGAGTATTAACATACTGTGCAGATCCATCATATTCTTGATAAATATTTCATACTAACTTAATCCCCTCAATGAAATATGTGTTCACTCATTATCCCCATTAAATTGGGGTTGATAGAGTTCCTCAAGTATACATTGGTAAGCAAAAACCATAATAACAGGCAATACCCGTTGCGAAATTCGTATCTAGTGTTGCTCACCATCTGCATAAATACTCTCACAGCGTGTGAATTCATAAAAGTGACACAACTCTCAGCGAAAATATCAACAATCACTTTAATGGTCCATCAAATTGTTTTCAAACACATAGAACTACGTATTTTGAATTTTAACTATTGTTACTTAATATCATTATTGCATACACATAACAATCTCATCGTAAAAGTTATAAATGGGAACTTAACATTGTAGTACAATAAATCAGTCCTCATAATTAGCCTCAACATAAAAAGTATAGTACCGTTTTATTGTACACAAATCAATGAGTGATTATTACTGATTTATATCTTTATTATTGCCTTATTCTATTAAGATTTTTTGGTCTGTAAGGTACTGCTCTACTGTATTTATAACACAGAATACATTTGGTAGTGTTTAATTAACTTGTATTAGACTATGTGAATGTATTTCCCTAACATTCTTAGGGCTATATTTATCCTGCTGTGCGCTACTTCTATCTTGACTACAACACATTACCTTCGTTTTTATATTCATTATGTAAATTAGAAGGTAACGTCATTCGTAATAAGTTTTTGTTAATTTATTAGGGATGAAATGGGTCTTGGTAAGACAGTTCAAGCTATTGCCACCATTTGGCTATTAATTAGACAAGGACCGTACGGAGGTAGACCGGTTATTCAACGTTGCCTTATTGTAACTCCAGGTACACTTGTTCAGGTAATTGGTCTATTTTTTTTAATACAACTTAATCTTACTAATTTTTTTGGCTTTTATCATATATTCTGCCTTTCCTCTCTTATTTACATCATGTTAGAATTGGCAAAAGGAATTCTCCAAATGGTTAGGTCGTGAACAGTTACCTGTGTATTGTGTAGATCAAAATCATTCTGTTAAAGTGAGTTTTTGCTTGATTATGTCAGACTATTCTGTTTTTCATTATTTGTAGAATAATTTGATAATTATTGAGAATCATGTAAACAGTATATGTAGAGCCAGTTGCTTAGCGGTTAAACAATCGGACTTTCAATAACTTATTTACATGTTTGATCCTTACTCTATCTACTTCGATTTGAGCAGCTGAGCAATATAATTAACACTCATGCTTAGTATGGTTCAAAAATCGAACACATGAACTGTAAATAAATTACTTAAACAGTTTGTATCTATATTTTTAATTTGATAACTTTGGTCTCTTTCTGGTCCTAAAGTTTCACGTTATGACAACGGGCAATTTTGTTTATATTTGACTGGAATGTCATCTGTAACGCATCCTAAAAGCAGTAATATTTTTACAACAACATAGGAAAATTCTTTATAACCATTTGTAATTTTTCGTTGTCGATATTCAGGATCAATCTCTTACCATATCTGCATCGTGAGTTTGAGTCTCAGTGTACATGTCAAAACCACGATGCAGGTGCGTTCAGCTGACGAGTCGCAAACTGGACAAAGCGCGCCTCCTGAATTTCGCTGCTAGTCAAAATCCATCTTCTTTATAAGGCTTGTGACAAAATCACTGTATCAAGGCGATTTGTATATATCACATCCACATATTCCAACAAGGATTGATCAAAATTTTGTTCTATGTATCAACAATGGGATAACTAAAACCTGTACTAATGGTAATATAAACAACAGTTTTTGTTAAATTTTTTCATTATTTTCCACCTTTCTTTATCGGCAACTGACTTTTTTGTCTTATTTTTCTCCTTCAGAAATACCTAACAATGTCCAGTGATTCACCGCAGGTTATTCTTATGTCGTATGAAATGTTTCTACAGCATACTAGTGAAATCTATGAAATTTCCGACTTGGATATGGTTGTATGTGACGAAGGGCATAGATTAAAAAATTCCAATATCAATACAACTATGGTAGGTTGTTTGGATTTTGTTTATTGGTACACAGAATATGTAATATAACGATGGATCATTATATACGTATTTTAGTCGATAAATTATTCGTCAGTCTGTTATCTCATAGGCTTGCTTGTGCAGACTACTAGCAATGAACACTAGATCACACTACTTGATTACGTGATCCTCACAATCACTCAATGAAACGACCGTTCGATCATGTTCGGGTCTCAAACACGCGGTTGTTGATGCAGGTACAAAGCACTGAGTTAACAGAATGAAATTTACATTATAAAATATTCTTTTATGCTAAATGTACCGAGGCATATCTTCCTTTACTTATTGACCAATCAAAGATTACTCTAATCAAACATAACATCAAAGTGCTATCAATTTCGGAGGAAATAGTCGGATAATTTAAAGTCGCTGGTGCATATTTTTTTAATGTTGTGATATTTGTAAAATCCTCAATAGATTGCCCATCATTCTTCCATCGTCATCAATTTTTACTTAGTTGAAATATATTTTTATTCTATATTCCTGTATTTTATAATTTAGGCACTTTGTCGACTACGTGCACGAAGACGTTTACTATTAACTGGGACTCCATTACAAAATCATTTGAATGAATTATGGTCATTGGCTAATTTCTGTGTACCAGGACGTTTAACTTCAAGTTTAGAAGAGTTTCGTCGTCAATTTGTTATACCACTATTAAATAGTCGTAACTTAGTACAAAATGTTAAAAACAATCTTAACAATGATGATGATTGTGATTCCTGGAGTTATACAAACTATGAGAAGAATTGTGATGATTTAGAAAGTCCATCAGCCAAATTATTCCGACTATTGAACAGTTTCTTTTTAAGACGCACATGTGATGTCATTGCACCAAAACTAACTGATAAAAGTAAGTACTCCTAACTTTTAAAAAATTCTTTTTGTGTGAGATAACTCTGTAATTATATGCATATAAATTTAGTAGACATGAAACTCCCTGTTCGAGTCCTACTGAATTGTCGTGCACACTACTTGATGTAAACCAAACCCAATATACAAGTAAAAACGCTTTAATAACTATGAAGGTTTAATTGCGAAGTGTATTTATAACGTACACGATTCACAGGAATATATACAAATATCCTTCTGGTTCAGAATTGGACATAGGGTGAAACCTTGTATAGGTGTATGGTTGACCTCTTTCCCTATAGCGTCGCTCGTCTATAACTTCTTAAATACCGTTTGATAGCATATAAGCACAAGCGTGTGAAACGTCTATAAACATCTAAACTATCATCGTGTTCTTAAATTATTTCACGTTCCTTTTCTTGTTAAGTTACCTGAGCTGAAGTTCGAAGTTGATGTAAATTCTTCATAATTAATCACCCATATACAGCCATAAACATTCATCCACCTAATTTCCTATTATCACACCTGACTGCTAACACTATATTCTAGTATTTTTGTGCTATGATAAAAGTTCATTATTTAATCGTAGTAGTGAATTTAATTTTATTGATCGGTTACTGATATATCTCTACTAGTTTATGTATAGGGATCATATCTACATATTATTTATGTGCTACAGATAATTATTAAGCATCTGTTATTGTGAATGAAAATTGAAAATTACAACAGTGTCACTGAAAAACTAATTAGTTCTCACTAATTTCTTTCATATGAAAAGTCATACCTGTTACCTATGGACGGATTAAAATGTCACAGATAAAGCCAAATTTCTTAGTCGAAAGATATTTAGAATGCGTGACTTGCACAGTTCACTACTAGATAAACTTTTTATTTGCCATTCACGATTGGATGTGTGAACATGGAGAAACGCTTCTCAGACTACTCAATTGAGTTGAAACGCGACTCAATATCTATGGTACCAAAAGATGCAAGCAAGCATATAGACAGATACGTACGTTCATACACGCTCAAGTTCACATATGGGTGACGAAATGACTAGGATGATTGGGATCATTCATCTGTTCAAAAGTAAGGATAAATCGTGTAAGCGTGTAAAATGCTAGTCACTACAATATTCACCCTACATTTAACTGCTACACCCATTCTAAAAAATAATCAGGTGAAAAAGATAAACACCATCTAAGTATTCATCTGGAGAGCCGATATAGTATCAGATATTGATCAAGTCAATTCCATTTGTGAGTAGTGCAGAATATTGAACAGTTGTAACTTAGACTGTTAAATTTATTTTTCCATAAATGAACCACCAAAGACTTCAATGCTTGCTTTAGATTAATAACTAATAATAGACGATTGCGTAATCCCCATTCTGTCGAATTTGTATGCTTTAAAATACAAGCTCGCGTTCATAAGATATAATACGTAAACTAACAATGAATGGAACGAAATTTTATATTACCTATGCTAGAAGCCAGACTGCTTGTTTTCACACGTAAAGATTACCTTTGTGATTTTTAATCTCATTCCAATTTCTTTTTTCGTGCAACATCTTATAGTACTTAATAATATTCAGTAACTTAATTTATTCCTAATCATTTTTGAATACATTGCTCATATAATCTATTCACTAAGTGATTGTTCCAAGTATTTACATGCATTTGTGACATTTAATCCATCCATTATTGTAATCATATCCTCTCAAGATTTGTTTATTTGTAGAAAATTCCCATATTTAGTGTTGCGTAGTTCACCTTTCAATTTTTTCTGCCATTTTTGAATTGGATACATAGTGTCATTTAATTTATCATACGTTTTTGTAAATTGCTATTAAAAAGTCATTGTGAAAAGTATTTCCACTTCGGTCGTGCTTTGAAAATATAAAGGCTTTAGAAATGTCACAGTTTGAAGTTAATGTAAACTTTATTACTTATGTTCATTATTATTATTACTACCAATATCGTTTTTCTAGGCAATTCTTTTACTTTAGACTTAGTGACTTTTATATGTAACTCAATCGTTTCGTCGAAATCTTTAAGCGAATTCAACGGGTCTGAATAAGAAAGGAAGTGATATCACAACCAGGATATAATGTGCTTGATCAAATGACCTCGTCAGGTGCACACATAAAAAACTTACATCTAGGTACTGACTTGGTATAAAGTAACAATGAACATTCATTAGTTAAAATTAATTTTGTGCAATGAATGTACAATGAATGAAGTAAGGACAATTCCAGTTTATTAATATGAGGGCTTCGACTTTATGTCCCGTTGGTTCGGTGACTCAACAAGCGACTCACAACGTTCTAGATTCCAATCGAAGCCGGAACATATTGGACATATTTTAGTCAAACCAATCAAATAGTGTCATTTGCTTTCACCAAAAAGTAGATGGGTCTATTCATCCAACTACATCGCGTTATCTTATTTATAACCAACAAAATCTTGCTTCACCAAACGGGAAGATGAGCAACTTTAGAGAGACCGAAACGAAGACCTAGCGAAATTGTGTCCAGATAGTCGTCATCCCAAAGCTTAGATTTATAAAAACAACCCAATTCTTGAGTGTTTCAATGACAAGTTTTTCAAACGACTTACGATCATGAGATGTTGGATCATTGATTCTCTGAACAACTTCAGCGCGTTGTTTATTCGTTGTCTGACCATCTAATCGAAGAGATGGTTGTCCAGTGACTAGATTACATAATTTCTCCAAAAGATTAAGTGTCTGGAATATGGTAAATGTAAAAAGTACAAGATTTATAAATTGACTTATATTTTGAAGTATTGTTTTCATAACATATATGTATGTTAAAAAGAAAGCTGCGAGATCCAACAATGTTTATGCATGATCAATTAGCCGTAGGCTAGTATGAGACCTAGTACCAATTTGTGTCATTTGACAAGCCATATCAACACAGTGATATGCTAGAGTAACAGGAGTAGGATGGCGTGATAAAGTGAAATCTGGTCGTCTTAGATTTTATTCTTCGTATATTTATGGGTTCGCACTACTGAAGAGTCCTATACGAATACAGAACAGCTACATAACTTTCAACCACTTGGTCTCATGTTGGAGTGCGTTTCATCTGTCTCAGTCGAGGAAACAAAATGGTATTATTACTGCTCATAGAAATAATATTATTCAAGGCTGTGTACATATACGTGTACTTGATTATTCATTTGTGTTAATGGATTTATCAATTATTCATAATGATTTAAATATCCCATCTGCTCTTTCTCGAATAAAGATACGTTGATTGGTCACTGAGTAGTGACATATTTCATATTTGTCTAGTCCTTTAGTCCCAACCGAATTCTGGCGATCAAGTTACAATTTGGCTACTATTTTCAGTGTCTGGACATCATGTTCACCATAATTTAATGTTAGATAGTTGGATGTAGTCTGCAGGAAACCCTTGAGAGTTCAGCTACTTCCTGCTTACGTGTTGTAACTAGTACGAAACTGACGTTAAACAGGGTTTACTCTCGAATACTTCCAGCCATCTAACATGAATAGATATTTTTCTACTAACAGTTTGCTTGTTTGGTTGTTTTCAACGTGCTTTATTCTCTATATATAGCTGAACATATTTTGTTTTGTCGTCCGAGTAAACTGCAAACCGATTTGGAAGCTATACTTACACAGTGGATGAATAATGAATTTAATTTAAGTCGATGTGAATCTCTTAAATTATTCTCACACGATGATGATTATGAAGATTTTGTTAAATCTGTGGAAAGCGCATCGTCATCACGTTCAAAACACCATAGTTCCATTTTATCAATTATAACAGCATTTCGAAAACTTCACAATCATCCATATCTATTAAGAAATTATTTAATACAGTCGAATTCTACACAAAATCAATCAGTTGATCGTGTAAGTTGTTACTATTTCAAATGTCGAGCTTTTGCAGAATAGCTTCTTGGTCGTAATTTTCTTAGTTATAATTGTCTGATATATGTAGTTACTTGAGCTTTATATTTTATTAAAAAGAAATGACATTTAGACGTATAATGATTCCATAACTTGAACATTCTGCTTCCAAATGTATTAAATCATAAGTTTACACAACTCGTTTCAATTAGATTATCTAGGTGATATTTCTAAATTTTGCAAGAAAAGGTCTTGTTGTCTAATAAACGAATGTGTACCTAGTCATACTCTATTCATTTACTCCATTCTAAAATGTTACTTAAAAAACTGCCACTTGTCTTTATTCTGTATTTTTTAAATGCTCTCTGATGTTGAACTAAATGGTGCTATCATAATTTGAAGTTCTTCATCTTACGTATATGTCACAGACTCTTCCTAAGGTCTTGCTGAATAAATTTTGATGATCGTCTCATTAGTGGTTACATGACTGTTATGATATTGGGTTCCTCGTGAGGCCTGAATGTTCTGGACTTTGTCTCATATGAATTCCTGGGAAGTCACAAACGTAGGAAAAATAAATATTCTGCACATTCTGGTTTACGATTGTTTATCAGTGTATTTCAGTCCGTGTCGAAAACTACTTTTACATGTAACAAATCTATAAATCACCTAGATAGATAGAGTCACTTAATATTATATATTAGCACTGTAATACATCCCAATTAATTTGATTACATATTTATAGTTATACTTCGGAAGTCCTATCACGTACACACGAACAGATGCAGATGAAGACAGCCAGTGTAGCAGCAGTCTCTGCATCAGTAGGCCTCAGCATACACAAAGGGAAAACTAAGGTCCTCAAATTCAAAGCGGAGAACAGCAATCCAATCACACTTGATGGCGAAACTCTGGAAGATGTAGAGTCCTTCACATACCTGGGAAGCATCATCGATGAACAAGGAGGATCCGATGCAGACGTAAAGGCGAGGATCGGCAAAGCAAGGGTCGCATTCCTACAATTGAAGAACATATGGAACTCAAAACAACTTTCAACCAATATCAAAGTGAGAATCTTCAATACGAACGCCAAGGCAGTTCTACTGAATGGAGCTGAAACATGGAGAACTACAACAACCACAATCAACAAAGTACAAGTATTTATAAATAGCTGTCTACGCAAGATACTCAACATCCATTGGCCGGATACCATCAGCAACAGCCTTCTGTGGGAGAGAACAAACCAACTTCCAGCTGAAGAAGAAATTAGGAAAAGACGATGGAAATGGATAGGACATACATTACGCAAATCGTCAAACTGCATCACGAGGCAAGCCCTAACTTGGAATCCTGAAGGGAAGAGAAAAAGAGGAAGGCCAAAGAACACATTGCGTCGGATAATAGAAGCAGATATGAAAGCGATGAATTACAACTGGACGGAGCTAAAAAAGATTGCCCAGGACAGGGTTGGATGGAGAATGCTGGTGAGCGGCCTATGCTCCTTCACGAGGAGTAACAGGCGTAAGTAAGTAAGTAACTTCGGAAGTCAATTCGCTTCATTCCTAACACTGTAGGGCATCCGCAACTCCTCAACTTTTTAAAAATCATTTCGGTAAACTTGAGAAATTAGTATTACAACGTAACTTGATACCTTGTTGCATCAGTTCTCTTACCTAGAATCCATACACATAAAGTTACAAAAATGAGTAACATAAAAAGTTAGATATAGGTTATTACAGTAGCCTAGATTTTAGGCCATGTTATCTAACATGTTCAATCACAGTGGTCCTTTATATCTTAAAACTGTTCAGCCTTTTGTATGATTTACACTTGTAATAAGTAACTCCTTACGGCCATTTGTTATTTCCACTTTTTCATGCATTTCAGTTAACATTACTAATCGTATTAGTTAGTAACTGAATTCATAACAACGAATGTCTTGAAAACACACATATACCGTTTGATACATACTCGAAACTCTTTTAATTGCTTTTTCTCATGTTTATCACGGTAGCTTACATTTGATCTTAGTATTACTTACTTATATCTTGACGACATGAAATATTTATCCTTCAAGCAACCTTCAATCAAATATTTCAAACCTCTTATAAACAATATGGCAAATCATTCCCTGTTTTATAGCCAGGTGGTTGTTTCAACTGTCGTTTAAAAGTGTTAACAGGTTTTTTGAGTTTTCTCAGCATGTTTTTTTAAAAAATCACTCCAAACTAAGTGTTCGAATAATCAACAAAATTGTCAGTCCTGTAAGCAGTGGTCTTTTGGAGAATAGAATCTGACAATCCTCCATACCATGTAAGTAAGTACACAGTTTCCTCCAAATATTTACATCGAATAAAATTATTTAAACTAATTCCTTTAGTTGTGTACATTTCATCATTTTCCCCTTCGCACACAGCTACCTACAAAACTGACTGCAGATTTGCTCCGTTTGTTGAATTCTGAACATTCAATAGTGGCACAAGATCTCTGTTTTACAAATCTAAATGAATTTATTCAATTATCTGGAAAGTTCCATGTTCTTTATATCATGCTGAGACGACTGTTTGACAAACAACTGTCATCTTCGTCCACAGTGAATTTCCAGAAAAAATCGCGACTATCCAACAGTAATAGTAAAAATAGTTTACATATTAATGATCGTCTTGTATTAGTTTCCAATTTTACTCAGGTGAGTATTATGACTTGATTACTATAAACGTTGTTATACTATTCTCTCTATCAATTTATATTTTTTTATTTTTATTTTTATTTGAAAACATAAATATTGGTACAAGAGGGCACCAAATATATATGCGCCACACTTTGTGTGAGGGTTGTGTTACTGCCCGGGTGCCCAGACCAAAGCAGGTGGTTTTCTTAGGGGGTCACACCCCTAGCCTTTGACCTGAAGGTCTCACCCACAGGACAGTGGAGCATCGTGAGGAGATGCAGTCCCATGGTAGCCGGTGACCGAAATTTGGTTCATACGCCATTTATTCCCTCAGGATACTGGAGCCCATGTGCACCATTGGTTTGGGATCCGGTTAAAGTGCCGGACATTCGCTTTTCGTCCTCTAATTTTCATAAACAAAACCCCCACCCCGAGAGGGCAATGAGTAGGACTTCCCTGGTAGAGGCTGTATACGCGTGGCCGTGCGAGAGCATTTCGAGAGGGAGGGCGGGCCCACCTCACTCTCGGCCATACCAGGGCATTTGGGGGCATCAATTTATATTACTTCGGTTTATAGGAGGCAAATATTTATCCCAGTAATACTCAGAAGGTTAACATTGCCGCTTGAGATAATAGATTTACGTATTTATGTTCAGTGCTTATCCAAATGATAACAGTCTGCAGTAAAAACTGGATTCATACAGTTTCAGTGATATAAAAACTTCCTTCTCGTGAGTTTAGATTTTCTTTGCCATGAATATTATTATAAGTACTATTCTTTCCTCTCCACTTCTTTTCATCTTGTTAAATTATTCTCTACTGGATGATACAAGAAATACTACCACCACTGATACTCCTGCTACTCTAGCATATCACTGTGTTGATATGGCTTGTCAAATGACACAAATTGGTACTAGGTCTCATACTAGCCTACGGCTAATTGATCATGCATAAACATTGTTGGATCTCGCAGCTTTCTTTTTAACATACATATATGTTATGAAAACAATACTTCAAAATATAAGTCAATTTATAAATCTTGTACTTTTTACATTTACCATATTCCAGACACTTAATCTTTTGGAGAAATTATGTAATCTAGTCACTGGACAACCATCTCTTCGATTAGATGGTCAGACAACGAATAAACAACGCGCTGAAGTTGTTCAGAGAATCAATGATCCAACATCTCATGATCGTAAGTCGTTTGAAAAACTTGTCATTGAAACACTCAAGAATTGGGTTGTTTTTATAAATCTAAGCTTTGGGATGACGACTATCTGGACACAATTTCGCTAGGTCTTCGTTTCGGTCTCTCTAAAGTTGCTCATCTTCCCGTTTGGTGAAGCAAGATTTTGTTGGTTATAAATAAGATAACGCGATGTAGTTGGATGAATAGACCCATCTACTTTTTGGTGAAAGCAAATGACACTATTTGATTGGTTTGACTAAAATATGTCCAATATGTTCCGGCTTCGATTGGAATCTAGAACGTTGTGAGTCGCTTGTTGAGTCACCGAACCAACGGGACATAAAGTCGAAGCCCTCATATTAATAAACTGGAATTGTCCTTACTTCATTCATTGTACATTCATTGCACAAAATTAATTTTAACTAATGAATGTTCATTGTTACTTTATACCAAGTCAGTACCTAGATGTAAGTTTTTTATGTGTGCACCTGACGAGGTCATTTGATCAAGCACATTATATCCTGGTTGTGATATCACTTCCTTTCTTATTCAGACCCGTTGAATTCGCTTAAAGATTTCGACGAAACGATTGAGTTACATATAAAAGTCACTAAGTCTAAAGTAAAAGAATTGCCTAGAAAAACGATATTGGTAGTAATAATAATAATGAACATAAGTAATAAAGTTTACATTAACTTCAAACTGTGACATTTCTAAAGCCTTTATATTTTCAAAGCACGACCGAAGTGGAAATACTTTTCACAATGACTTTTTAATAGCAATTTACAAAAACGTATGATAAATTAAATGACACTATGTATCCAATTCAAAAATGGCAGAAAAAATTGAAAGGTGAACTACGCAACACTAAATATGGGAATTTTCTACAAATAAACAAATCTTGAGAGGATATGATTACAATAATGGATGGATTAAATGTCACAAATGCATGTAAATACTTGGAACAATCACTTAGTGAATAGATTATATGAGCAATGTATTCAAAAATGATTAGGAATAAATTAAGTTACTGAATATTATTAAGTACTATAAGATGTTGCACGAAAAAAGAAATTGGAATGAGATTAAAAATCACAAAGGTAATCTTTACGTGTGAAAACAAGCAGTCTGGCTTCTAGCATAGGTAATATAAAATTTCGTTCCATTCATTGTTAGTTTACGTATTATATCTTATGAACGCGAGCTTGTATTTTAAAGCATACAAATTCGACAGAATGGGGATTACGCAATCGTCTATTATTAGTTATTAATCTAAAGCAAGCATTGAAGTCTTTGGTGGTTCATTTATGGAAAAATAAATTTAACAGTCTAAGTTACAACTGTTCAATATTCTGCACTACTCACAAATGGAATTGACTTGATCAATATCTGATACTATATCGGCTCTCCAGATGAATACTTAGATGGTGTTTATCTTTTTCACCTGATTATTTTTTAGAATGGGTGTAGCAGTTAAATGTAGGGTGAATATTGTAGTGACTAGCATTTTACACGCTTACACGATTTATCCTTACTTTTGAACAGATGAATGATCCCAATCATCCTAGTCATTTCGTCACCCATATGTGAACTTGAGCGTGTATGAACGTACGTATCTGTCTATATGCTTGCTTGCATCTTTTGGTACCATAGATATTGAGTCGCGTTTCAACTCAATTGAGTAGTCTGAGAAGCGTTTCTCCATGTTCACACATGGAATCGTGAATTTTTACGCTTGAAAACAAGCGGTGCGACTTCTGTCATCGTAAATATAAATCTTTGTTTCTGTTCCTTTTATTTGATCAATTATTCAGGTATATTACTGCTTAGTTCACGTGCGGGTGGAGTAGGTTTAAATTTGATTGGTGCCAATTACTTAATTTTGTTCGATATGGATTGGAATCCAGCAAATGATGCACAAGTAACTTTTTGTTTATTTTTCTGTCCTTATAATTCAACCTCACTCCCTAAAAGGTCTGTTTATATAATAGGTTTTATTCAGCTTGTATATAAATTATTTTAGAATCTTGTAACTTACTAAGAATGGGTTTATAGACTGACTTGAACCTTGTAAATCGAATTAGATGGAGAAGTGAACTGTTGAAAATTCATGGTCATTAGTGAAGTAAATTTACTGATTATACGTGGAATAAAATTTCCGTATTCCCTTAATATATTGAATAATACAATGAATGCAACAATCAGTCAGTTGGTTGGGGTGTTTATTGTGATTCAGTAAATATACTAATAAAGAATATAAAATGTCAACTGGATAAGGGATAGTTATCTTGAAAGCGATTTCAGAGGATCCATTTAATGATTAAGAAAGGGAATACATTGTGGAAACTTTTTTTGAACTCATAATCTTTACTTAGTTAGATGAATTCATATAACTTTCTCTGTATCTTGAAGCCAAATTTTCGATGCATAATTTAGGTTGAAGTAAATTTTTTGAATAGTTAGTAAAATAATTTTTTTATATTTATTTGGTGTCCAGTGTTTACTGGATGAATCTAGTTACGGATTCTTATTGTATTTATGTAGTCCATACTTACCTTTTGAGAGCGATTATCAATAATGCAATGATAGGTTTATACATAATTTCTTTCGATGTTATGTCCTCTAATTTAAGCTGAATGATTTAATTACGGGGCCTTCATTTTTATTCTGGACAACATCTTTAGTTTCTGCCCCGGATAGATATGAACTTTTCAGTTATTCTGTGTTTTATCAGTTTGTTTCAATGACTTTGTTTGTGATTGACTATCTTCAATCATTTTTATTGTCATCATTTGTCCTTGTGTTCACGTTGAATACTCTTGTTGGTTGACCTATGACCTTGTGAATGATCGACTTTTTTTGTGTTCCTTCATAGATTGGCTGTATATCAGTATGCACCGTTGATTATTCATTGATCTTAATCTCACACCCCTAGGAATTCTTTGACATCCTCGAATTTTCTTTAATACAAAATGTGACGTTTCTCCAGTGGAATTCGTGTCTCTAGTTGTCTGCACTCATTGATATCGGTAACTGTATATCATGTCGCTTAATCGCTAACCTGTGTTCATTCGCTCATAAATATGATTTTAATTAACCAACTACTAATTTTCAATATGTTGAATTTTCCAGTCATTTAGCTTATTTAACCAGATACATTTACTTAAACATTTCATATAAATTCAACGTAGTATGCTTCCTACACTAATAAGTATCATAGTTTTTTCTAAAACTGTAATTCAATGTTAACCAATCATCTCAGATGACTAATCAAGATTTACATTTTCATCTATTGTTATGCCTTCTCCAAACTGTATTTGTTCATCTAAATTCATTCAATAAGTCTACATGTGGTTATCGTCATACATTAATCCGTTTTACTTACAAATATTAACAATAAATTCCTGATAGATCCCAAATAAACGGATAATAAGTTACCATATCATCTTTTCTTTTACTAAACTTCAGTTACTCAAATTTCTACATGTTAAACTCTTTTTTAATTTCAGGCTATGGCTCGTATTTGGCGTCCGGGACAAACTAGATCGGTTAATTTATACAGGTTAGTAACAGCAAGTGGTATGGAAGAACGTATATTTCAACGACAAGCAGCTAAATTAGCTTTAACCAGTCAAACATTAGTCAATACATCAATGTATAATGAAAATATTTTGGAATTTATTGAGACAAAAAAGAAACCTGATAAAAATCTTGGAATTCTTACTCGTGATGAATTGAAAGTTTGTTGTTATTGATTATTTTTGAAATAGTGTTACTTGATGTTATTATCATGTTTTTTTTTATCATTTAAGTTAGTTGTTGGCTTTGAAGTTAGCCGTCTTTCAGTTTTATTACATAATTGATCTCCAAATGCTTGGGTTGAAAGATCCTGTACAGGATCTAAAATTTTTAAAATTTTTCCACCAACGAGATAGAATTTCCTGTTTCAGATTCCAGTTCATGATGCTGCTGCTTGGTTTCAATAGATCTCCTTAGATAACTTATTCTGTCGTTGGATTTATCTATATAAATCATTCAACTATTTTTTTCCACTGTAGTTCTAGGATGCCTCAAAATGTAAATGAAGAGTCATTTCTTCACTAGGTAACAATTTTTTGCAATATTTAGCTATTACTGGGGCTCAGTGGGTCTTATTGTACTATGATGTAGTAGGGGAAACCATTCATATTGTCTGTTTATTCATGTTCTTCTATGCAGTCCGTTCTTATCATGTCATCAGCACAATCAGTCATATTGATAACTTTGTTTAAATGTATGTTTCAGTGTTTTTCATAACTGAAGACAGATTCACGTTGAATCAAAATCTTAGATTACTTGAAATCAGATGAGTGATTTTATACCTCATTCAACTGTAAACCATCTGGTCAGTCAGTCGTAAGCCACGAACATGTGTTAATTGTTGGTGGATTTAGTGCTATGATGGATTTTGGAATTGTGTGATTTGTTTCAATTAAAGTCATTGTAATTGAGAATCAAATGTAGATTCAATTTAAAATCCGTCGTCAGCTCTTTCCGTAAATCAACCATTTGAAATTATCATCTCAAATAAAATTATACCTAAACCCTATCCTTGTTTACTGACTATTTGTTTTTATCATGATTTAAAAACTGGTTAACGCCATTTTCTTATCTAAACAAAGCTACTTTGAGAGGAGAATGACATGTGTTATTCAAAGCATAAATTTGCTGATCTTTCTACGATCCATGTTATCTGGGATTATTTACTGTGACTGTATTTCACTACTAATTATTTGTAAGTAGTACAAAGTGTATTACAAAATATGGAGTGATTCATATTTTCTCTTGTAACTTGTTCATTATTTCCTTTTCCTTTCAATGTTTAGGAATTATTTCTCCTTCCCAATACATCATCAGGGTCATGGACTCATGAACTTATTCAGTGTAATTGTAATCAGTCTCTAGAAAAGAAACCTTTCACCCCAAGTCCTTCTCTCTCATCATCATCAGACATTGAAAACTATGATTCTGCCGATGAAATTGTAGTGAAGAGTTTTATAGATTATTCTCATGAACTTGACGATAAAGAGAACAGAAAAGAAGAAATTGAATCATCAGGACACACTACTGGTATTATCAATGATGGGAATGAAGACGATGAATATTCCAATATTAGAATATTTCAATTAGGTTCTACAAATCCACTTATTACTGAGAGCTTGAAATCACCCAAATCCCAATTCACCGATTTGAAACAACAGTCAGCTTCAATGCCAACGAAAACTCATAAGTTACCATCATCTGATTCACTTGGTTTTCTATTGAATTGGAAACATTCTTTTTCATCTGAACAAATAGATCAGTTGAATGATCGACTTTTAATAACACATCAATCGGACCCTATGAAATCCTTAATAAACTGTATATTTACACTAAATTCGAAAGCATCTTAAGTATTTAGTATTTTTTTAAGTTATCTTCATTATATCGATTAATTTTCTCACCTCTCTTTATGCCTTTCTTGGATAATGACTTGAGTGTATTCATAAACAGTCCTATTTGTAATGCATACTGTTAAGTGCTGTTTGTGTATTGGGGAAGATGTTCATTAAAATACATGTTTTCCTTCAATGAATGAAAATGTGGCTATTGTTAGGTTTGTCGGGTCAAACGAAGTTTGAAGATTGTGTTGGCTTTTCGGATTATTTATTTATGGAAAAATGCAACAAGCAATAATTAGTTTATGCTTAGCGTACACTAAAGATAATAAACTCGACAGTAACAATATCAAAATCTCAGCGCATATATGCATGAAAGTGATCGATTCACCACGTGTGAAATAACAAATGAGGATCAACCACATAAGGAAACAGTTTAATCAAAATAGTGTAGTGCCTGTGCTTCGATAATTAATCACCCTCGAACCGTTGTCGTATAATCTTCAACGATGTTTGAAATCAGAAGGCAAAAAGAAGCAGCTACTACAGTTTATTTAGTAGATAATTCGGACCAGACAGCAGAGAGGCAAAATGAATGAGCAAGCGAACTACGATTGTAGCAGTAGCAAGTAGTAGTAGTAGTAGTAGTAGTAGTAGTAGTAGTAGTAGTAGTAGTAGTAGTAGTAGTAGTAGTAGTAGTAGTAGTAGTAGTAGTAGTAGTAGTAGTAGTAGTAGTAGTAGTAGTAGTAGTAGTAGTAGTAGTAGTAGTAGTAGTAGTAGTAGTAGTAGTAGTAGTAGTAGTAGTAGTAGTAGTAGTAGTAGTAGTAGTAGTAGTAGTAGTAGTAGTAGTAGTAGTAGTAGTAGTAGTAGTAGTAGTAGTAGTAGTAGTAGTAGTAGTAGTAGTAGTAGTAGTAGTAGTAGTAGTAGTAGTAGTAGTAGTAGTAGTAGTAGTAGTAGTAGTAGTAGTAGTAGTAGTAGTAGTAGTAGTAGTAGTAGTAGTAGTAGTAGTAGTAGTAGTAGTAGTAGTAGTAGTAGTAGTAGTAGTAGTAGTAGTAGTAGTAGTAGTAGTAGTAGTAGTAGTAGTAGTAGTAGTAGTAGTAGTAGTAGTAGTAGTAGTAGTAGTAGTAGTAGTAGTAGTAGTAGTAGTAGTAGTAGTAGTAGTAGTAGTAGTAGTAGTAGTAGTAGTAGTAGTAGTAGTAGTAGTAGTAGTAGTAGTAGTAGTAGTAGTAGTAGTAGTAGTAGTAGTAGTAGTAGTAGTAGTAGTAGTAGTAGTAGTAGTAGTAGTAGTAGTAGTAGTAGTAGTAGTAGTAGTAGTAGTAGTAGTAGTAGTAGTAGTAGTAGTAGTAGTAGTAGTAGTAGTAGTAGTAGTAGTAGTAGTAGTAGTAGTAGTAGTAGTAGTAGTAGTAGTAGTAGTAGTAGTAGTAGTAGTAGTAGTAGTAGTAGTAGTAGTAGTAGTAGTAGTAGTAGTAGTAGTAGTAGTAGTAGTAGTAGTAGTAGTAGTAGTAGTAGTAGTAGTAGTAGTAGTAGTAGTAGTAGTAGTAGTAGTAGTAGTAGTAGTAGTAGTAGTAGTAGTAGTAGTAGTAGTAGTAGTAGTAGTAGTAGTAGTAGTAGTAGTAGTAGTAGTAGTAGTAGTAGTAGTAGTAGTAGTAGTAGTAGTAGTAGTAGTAGTAGTAGTAGTAGTAGTAGTAGTAGTAGTAGTAGTAGTAGTAGTAGTAGTAGTAGTAGTAGTAGTAGTAGTAGTAGTAGTAGTAGTAGTAGTAGTAGTAGTAGTAGTAGTAGTAGTAGTAGTAGTAGTAGTAGTAGTAGTAGTAGTAGTAGTAGTAGTAGTAGTAGTAGTAGTAGTAGTAGTAGTAGTAGTAGTAGTAGTAGTAGTAGTAGTAGTAGTAGTAGTAGTAGTAGTAGTAGTAGTAGTAGTAGTAGTAGTAGTAGTAGTAGTAGTAGTAGTAGTAGTAGTAGTAGTAGTAGTAGTAGTAGTAGTAGTAGTAGTAGTAGTAGTAGTAGTAGTAGTAGTAGTAGTAGTAGTAGTAGTAGTAGTAGTAGTAGTAGTAGTAGTAGTAGTAGTAGTAGTAGTAGTAGTAGTAGTAGTAGTAGTAGTAGTAGTAGTAGTAGTAGTAGTAGTAGTAGTAGTAGTAGTAGTAGTAGTAGTAGTAGTAGTAGTAGTAGTAGTAGTAGTAGTAGTAGTAGTAGTAGTAGTAGTAGTAGTAGTAGTAGTAGTAGTAGTAGTAGTAGTAGTAGTAGTAGTAGTAGTAGTAGTAGTAGTAGTAGTAGTAGTAGTAGTAGTAGTAGTAGTAGTAGTAGTAGTAGTAGTAGTAGTAGTAGTAGTAGTAGTAGTAGTAGTAGTAGTAGTAGTAGTAGTAGTAGTAGTAGTAGTAGTAGTAGTAGTAGTAGTAGTAGTAGTAGTAGTAGTAGTAGTAGTAGTAGTAGTAGTAGTAGTAGTAGTAGTAGTAGTAGTAGTAGTAGTAGTAGTAGTAGTAGTAGTAGTAGTAGTAGTAGTAGTAGTAGTAGCCCTACG